CGAAAATATCAGGTAATAGCTAAGAATGAAATGGAAAGTGGCTCGATGTACAGCTATCAGTTATACTATTAGTTATAGCAACAAGGAAGCAATTAGTATGCGACTAAGTAAGATGTCCATAAGAATAAGATACACACTCATCGTTTTGTAGTAAGTGATTAAAACCAATGGTAAACCCAAATTCAGTAGACGAGAAGTCGTGCGAAATTCCAGTTAATAAATAAAGTACTCCAAAAGTATTAAAGCGTTAAATATCCATCAAGAAAAAATTAAGTAAATTCAAATAGCAGTGCCTTTAAGAATGCCATACCTTGTTGGTGTCGTCTCTGTTTATACGGTAGTGATATATGCGGCCTTCGTGTCTGAGACTAATGGTCAATTGTCCAGGATGACTCTCAGATTCACGAACAAGAAAACTGCCGGTAATTCCACTGTTTAAAAGATACTCGGCATAGTTGCGCTGAATCGCGCCATGGTACCACCTTTCTAAGTCTAAACCGAGACCAGCCAAACTGGCCTGACTTCCGACACCGCTCGTGGCATGGCTATTAGCATCGTCAGATGAAGGCATAGCACCAACACAGGCGGTTAAAGTTGCTCCCTGAGCTGTAAAACACAAATACTTAAATTAAGAATTATTTTATTATTAAAGAGCAAGTGATAATCGAAGTAATATGGTATATTACTTTCAACAGAAGCAGAGTTACCGCAAGATGGAGAAACTCCATTAATTGGGGTTGGCCCAGTAATATAGTTAGTAGGCATCCAACCACGTTCGCAAGTCCTCAAGCATTCGACATCAGCCCAATCGCCATCTGGGCTATATCCAAAAAGAATGAGGTGATCACCTATGTCAAAGTGAATTACGTTCGATAAATTTAAGGTTGGTGGTCGCTCAAGACAAATTCAATGTTATTTAATCAAGATAAATAAAATAGTAGATAAGAATCAAGGTAATACTTCGATTTAAAAATATGTACCATGTTTGACCGTTATTTGTGTAGGAGAATCCGTACCAATAGGAGGGTTGAAATCAAATAATGCA